ATCTTGCCCGTCAAGATCAGCTCGCCCGTGCCCGGAGAGGTGGCCTCGCTCTGGACCGCGAAGGCTAGGCCCCCTTCCCCCGACACGGCACAGCCCACCCCGATGGGAAAGCCGCCCAGGCAGCCGCTGTTGATGCTCACCGCCTGCGCGTCGCAAATCCCGTCCCCACCTCGCTCCCCTCCCCCTCCTCCTCCGCTGTCCTCCTCCTGCTCTCCCTCCTCCTCCTCCTCCCCGTCCCCCGCAAAGGCAAATCTCGTCCTGCTGGCGGCCCCTCTCGCCGCGTCGTTGCCAGTTCCTTCCTCTTCACGCCCTTCAAGCGCGAGCCCAGGTCGGCTTGACACCTGAATCCCGAGAGCGCCCGAGGAGGAAGAAGAGGGCGAGTAGGCCAACCCAGATCCCTGGCTTCCTGAGGTGTGCCGCCAGGCACCAGGCCCTCGCTTTGGCTTCTTGGCCGACCTCGAGGTCGGCCCGAGGAGGTGCCAGCGCGCAGAACGGTGCAGGCAGGAGGGGGGGGGCAGGGACCACCCGGGCAGGGCTTCGCTAGCCGACACTTCTTCAGAAAGCTGCCGGTTGGCTTTCCTTCGTACGCCGCGACTGGCGCCGGCAATTCTGCTGTGCGACCTGATGCGCCGATGGCTTTCTTCCTCCAGGCCGTCGACCTGCTCGCGCCTCCCGTCCCCGCTCTCGCTGCGCAACCCCCGCCGAGGCATGAATCTCAAGCTCTGGTCCGGAGCCCTAGAGATACCGATAACACCACGACAGACCTGTGTGAGGGTTTATGAGGGCCAAAAGGTTGTTAGACAGGCCCCTTTTCAGCCACGGGCCAAAGAAGCAGAGATGCAATACGGGATTATAGTGTCTCCTCCTTTCTTTGCGGCCCTTGCCAAGAAATCACGGTACGGGTACCAGTCAACAAAAACACGAGAGAATATACGAAGGCGAAAAAGAAGCGGAAGAGATGTTGGTACCAGACACGTGTGTTGTCTCAAAGTTTGGCCATGCATTTCCCGTTTCCATGATTCTTGATATTGCGGTCTCCAAGCGCACAATCAAGACGGGAGACTCCATCCAAAACTCCCGTGCCCACTGTTGGGCTTAGTTCACGCCGTGCGCAGTCACATAGAAGCCTATTGTAATGAACGCTGACGAAGCGCGTCACGCAAGAGGGCTAGTGTGCATGTGGTAGCTTCAAGTCAACTCGGCCCGCGTTGTGGCAGGGAGGGTAAGACGAAAAGCACGCGAGACAGGTCAAACTCAAACTTGGACAAGAGGATTACCCATCCCACTGAAAAGCACTATGTTGATGACAAAGATGAGGTGTGGCCACGGGCAGGATAGCTTGGTGTGCGCCCCAGCCCGACCGGTACTGGTTTTCCCTGCCTCCGGAGAGAGGGCTGCTAGCCTTGAAGAACCGGCAAGACCGCAAGCTTTTCGCCCGTCCCTCCCGCCTGCCACAAGCCTCAAGCTGGCGCCGTACTGCCGTCATGCATTCAAAAAATGCTGATTTTTTCCCACTCACTGACAGACGAGCCGGGGAACGGGCGTTTTGGCTCCATTTTCTCCATGTGCTGAAGCGCGCCTCTCACTGCACGCTATCCGCGCTACCATAATACCTCCCCTACCCCCCCAACATGAACTCCATCGTCTCCTACATTTCCAAGTATCTACCTGGGCAGACGCACCGATCCTTGTCACATTGTCGTCTAAAACCTTTCAGACGCCATTTTTATCCGTCTTGTAACCCTAGATCCAAGCACCACGGGCTCTGGATTAACGACCAAAGTCGCCCGGCCTTAAAAGGTTTGACGCACACGCTACAAAATCCAGCCACACGCAAAGACCTCGGTCATGTTGTGAGCATTGCGGAAGGTGCGCTAATTTTGATCTTCATAACCTGACTGATTTGGAGTTCGAGGGGCGCACCTGTAGTTTATTGAAGCCTTCCACGTTTTTATTTCGCTCTTCGTCGATTTCTTATTTTAGCCCAGGATATTGATGTAGCTGTCGAGGCTGCCGAGTCAAGTTTCCATTCTGGCGTATGGTCAAGAGAGACAGACGTTAAAGGGCGGAGCAAGGTGCTGTTGAACATGGCTCACGGACTGGAAAAACGCCTCCCGGAGTTGAGCCGCCTCGAGTCCTTGCAGACCGGCCGCCCGCTACGAGAAATGCGGGCCCAGCTCTCCCGTCTGCCCGAATGGTTCGAATATTTCGCAGCCCTGGTCCGCACAGAAGAAGGGAGCCTGCCTCCGTTCCCCGGACCGTACTTGAACTATGTCCGACGGGTCCCACTCGGGGTATGCGCGCTTTTGACTCCCTGGAATCACCCCCTCCTAATTGCTGTTAAAAAACTCGCCCCTGCACTGGCCGGGGGCAACAGCGTGGTCTTGAAACCCCCCGAACTGGCCCCCTTGGCCGTTTTGGCCCTCGGAGAAATTGCCCGGGACGCGGGGCTACCTCCGGGTGTCCTAAACATCGTGCCTGGGCAGGGCAAGGTGGCGGGGAGAGCCTTAGCCGCACACCCCAGAGTGCGCAAGGTAGACCTGACGGGCGGGACGGATACGGGTCGGATGACGGCCTGTGTGGCGGGAAAAAACCTGGCCAAGGTGGTGGCGGAGCTGGGCGGGAAGACCCCAATGCTCGTGTTCCCGGACGTGGATGTGGACGAGGCGGTGAACATGTGTGCGTTCGGGGCCTTCGTGGCAGCGGGCCAGACATGCGTCTCTGGCAGCCGCCTCCTCGTGCACGAGTCCATCTTCGACGACTTCGCCGCCCGCTTTGCGGCCAAGGCCCAGGGCCTGCGCCTCGGCGACCCCCTACACCTGGAAACGGACGTGGGACCGCTCATCTCCCGAGCGCAATTGGAGCGCGTGCACGGCTTCGTAGAACGCGCCAAGACAAAGGGAGCCAAGGTAT